TATATATATATATATATATATATATATATCAATACAGGGAAAATACATTAATATTGGCAAAAATATCAGCCAGTCGATGCATCTGTCTAGCTAGCTGCTAGACTGTCACAGGATCTGGTGCAACAGGAGGGTATTTGGTTATTTATTTGCCCAAAAGAAAAAATGAAAACAGTTTCTACTGTTTATTCTGTATAACTTGACAAAATTCATGCATAAAGTTTTTACCTGCATTGTTGTTTTTGTGTTAATATTCTACATCAATTAGGGCAAGTATGCAATTATACTAAAGTTTGACATATCCCAACATTCTGTATTTATTGTATGACATTCAGTACTTTGTCATCCTCAGGGTATACTGGTGACCTGGACAAAGGGCTTCAAGGCTACAGACTGTGAGGGGGAAGACGTGGTGGAGCTTCTCCGAGATGCAATCAAAAGAAAAGAGGTGATGACAAACAATGACAATGTGTAGATTGGAAATGCATGGTTCGAAAAACCTAGTGAAAAACAACCTTAAATCCATAGAAGAAGAGAAGGAAATCACAAGAAAATGTATGTGATTGGTGCGCTTAAAAAAGAAAAAAACCCAGTTCAGTTTATAGCTGGTAGATTGCTCACCACCAGATGAGCTTCTTTTGTCATAATGGTGGAGGAAAGCTCCAGCATGAGGCAATAAAAGTTAGAAATAGGAGCCATAAATGTTGAATCTCGTGGACCAAACCAAATCTCATGTAAACCAGAGTTAAACAAACCTAAATATTCTGCCTTTCAAGATTTAAACGTTGTTTATGTTCAGGCTGGCAGCCTTTGGTCTGCAGAGCGGAGGTTTTACCCTGAGGCCAATTTTAATTGTCTATTTTATGCCATTCCTACGGACTACTACTTGATTTTTTTCTTTTATTTTGTGGTTGCATTGTCAGATGACAATTAATATAAATACAGTTTATGAGTAAATTTGGAAAGATGAATACAACAGACAGTGCCCTATGTAATGATTTTTGTTCCATTATTGTTTTAAGCAAAGACCACTATGTGTTAAAGGAAATTGAAAAAAAGCAAAACAAAAAATAAAACTTTAAAAAACGACTTTATCAAAAACAAGATTTTAGGATTAACTTTACTATTTTCATTTTTTTATTAAGTTATTTTCACTTTTTCAAAGCAGAAAAAAAGATGTTACAGACACTGTATTCTCAAAATGTCTTTTTTCAAACAACTTTTTTTCAGATTGAGTTTTTTTTAGATCACATTCTCTTCACTATGGATATGAATAAAAATGTTTGGTGATATCGTCCAGTAAGCCAATAGAAATTATATCTTCGCTTCTCAATCGCCCTCAGAAGTGAAAAGATTGCGATCTGTACATGCAAGATGAAAATAATGCAAATTACAAAACTCTACTTCAAAAGCAGAAATTTGAAAAGCAAAAAATATGAAAAGAATTCAAACAAAATTGGAGCACAAAACTGTAAAGAAAAAAATCAAATAATTTGAAAAAATAAAAATACTTTTTTTTTTACATTAAAAGCATGGTTCTTGCAACAATAATGGAACAAAATTAACTCTATAACTGTGAGGTCGAGCCGCGGTTTTCAATGTTTATCAGTGTGGAAGCACCAGATTATGGAGAGAAGCAGAGAAAGGAGCCCTGAGCCACGTCTGCCCTGTAGGTGGAGGCGGGTTTAGTACCAAGTTCTTAACAACCGACTGAGAGATGCTGCCAAAGGTATGAGCATCAGACCGGATCTGAGGTGATGACACTAATAAATTTAACTGAGAGGAATTAAGAACTCATATATGTCTGAAACTATGAGATACTCCACAGTTATCAGCTCTTTATCCAAACATTCTTCATCTGTGGAAAATTCTAAGGAAAATTCCAAATTTGTATTTTTTTTTTATTAATCTATAAAGGAACATTTAATATTGGTGAAAATAAGGTAAATGCGATAGATTATAGCAAAGCAAAGGAACAATACTTTACTATGACAATAACACAGTACAGTGAAAAATGTACAATGTACAACAGTTGTTGGGCTAATAAATAAATAAATAAATAATATCATTAATGTTCACAACAGTGATGTCAGTGCATAAAATCACATTCAAGTTTTACTTGTTAATCTAAGACCAATCTGATAATTTGAAATAAAAAAAGAAAAGTTACAACACCTGATTTATTGGTGATAAATACAAGAAAACTGTCCTGCAGTGCTTCCGCGGCCCACTAGGGGAGCACAACCCCACATAAAAGACCTCTGATGTAGAATAATGAATAATTCATGTTTGATGTTTTACATTATTAAGGTTGTAGAGTACAAATACAGAAGGATTATAGCATGTTTCATTTATAGTTTTTAAGTAACCGAGAGCTCCACTTCTATGTGTGAACCTGTTTGTTCCAGCAGAACCTTACCTATGCCACAGGGTCTGATCACTGTGGAGCAATTACAGGTGCTATTTTTGGCCTAGATGATACCAATAAGGCTGAAGTTGAATGTTTTCCTAATGCATAATTAGAAGGTAACAGATTTATAAGCTAAACTGGACCTCCAGTGGCTGAAGAGCACTTCCTGTTTTTTTCTGCTTTGAGACATCCTTTCATCTCTGCATAAGAAATAAATGAAAGTCTGGTTCATTCCAAGCCAATTATAAAGAAATGACCGATGGAGGATTCTCCAGCATAGAGTCGATAATCTATATGGATATACATTTGTTTAATAAAGGAAAAATCAGTAGTGGAATCAAGAGCAGTGACATTACTGAGAAGAGACCAGGGGCCAAGAGAAGAGATTAGGTTTTTCACCTATGAGATGATTTTATATCCATTTGTTCAATGGTACTGTTTACAGGAGTATAGTCAGATTATATGTCTATAGAAAAAGGACTAAAAACCATTTAATCAGGATAAAATTAGGTCATATTCACCAAGCGTCTGTTCTTATAGTGTTTAGATAGTCCTTTTAGAGCCTAAATAGAATTCCAGCACTGGGCGAACTAACATAAACAGATGTGGCGCCATCTGCTGGTAACACCGGAGAACTATCAGAAATCTCAATGGTGACAATTGAGGCAGCTGCTCAATAGAGCCCCACCATCCCGCATGCCTCAGGGTAAAGTGACATCACAGAATGGTGGAAAACCAACTGCTGTTAATTAAATAGATCAGGCTTCAGCAACTCAAAGTTCATGAAAATCCTATCCAGATCGTTCTATCGGAACATCAGGGAGAAACGCAGAGGCATTGCTGATGAGCCCTGAATTGAATCTTATCTTGAGTAGTTTCTGTGTTTGTATTTATACAGTAGAGACTGTAGCATTGCTATCCGTATGTTTTCCCACTCACAGAGCTGGGTAAAGCACCTAAAAATATTACTGTTACTGATAGAATATTTTAATTCATGATCACGTGTACCATAAGAAGGAGAAACAGAGCAGGAGCCAAAAGCTGATTTTCCTCATACTGCTTCGTTTTTAAGATTCTTCCTAATCCAGCCCAGTTTCCTAAGCAAACGGCTACTGGGCCACTTTTTCACATCATCTTAACACCCCCGGATAAACAGGTCATAGACTTGCTTTTTTTTTTGACAAAAAACTCAAGAAGCTTGGGCATGCAGGTGGAGCAACGGTTAGCGCACACGACCCATGTGCAGAGGCCTTAGTCCTTGACGCGGCCGACTGGGGTTCGAATCCGGCCTGTGGTCCTTTGCCGCATGTCTCTCCCTCTCTCTCATACCCCCTTTCCTGTCAGCCTACTGACAGAAAAACATGCAACTAGTGCTGCAAAAGAAAAAAAAACATATAAATATTAGTGTTGCGCCGATGCCATTTTTTGGCCCCGATACCTGGCTGTGCAGTATCGGCCGATACCGATACCATAATAATGTAAAATAATTGCCATCATGGCTTCATGTCAAGCTGCTGCCTATGTTTGTGAAGCAGGAAAAAATCAAATACAAAGTGAATCCAGTAGAACTTTTTATTGCCTACTAGTGACAATAGTTGAATAAACTTATGGCTCTCAAAATGGTATCGGTGCCCTATTTGTTGGTACTCGCCGATACCGATACCACCACTTTAGGGCGGTATCGGGGCCCCGTCCGATACTGGTATCGGTGCAACACTAATAAATATATCTGCTTCTTGGGTGGGGATGTGCAGAATGTGTAAATGTTGCCAGTTAAGAGTTTTATAAATTGATCTTGCTTTCTTTAGATTGAAGAACCAGTAAGTATAAACTGAGAGTAAATCGCTGTCCGACAGGTAAAGCAGTGCGGGGCTGGACTGCAGCAGTGTGCGGTGAAGCTTGTAGGAGCATGCATTGACAGCTGATAGCGGCAGAGCTTCTGGATGGCGGCAGCTCTCAGAGGAAAGCTTGCATCATCTATCGTCAGCTTGTCCCAAAATGTGAATAACATGCATTGTTGCCAGTGTGGCGTTGAAAAGTAATCAGCCCTCAACACATTTCCATTCAGGCGTGTTCTATTGAAAAAGGCAGTCTAACATTGCTTCTATATAATGCAAATAAAAGATGATAAGAAGAATAGAAATCATGTAAAATTAAAACAGTCTGATGAGGAATTATTCACCACTAAGAGCATTTACTGTATCTGGTTTTCTGCAGAGATGGAAACATCAAGTGGAGTTATGATTTAAAAAAATCAGTAGATAATTCCAGTAGAAATCCATGAAAATATCTTTGCTGTCTCTTAATAACTGTTCTACTTGGGTTTTAACAAAGTGCATGGCAACTTAAATTTGTCATAGCAATGACAGCAAATATAAAGTCAGAAGTTTGCTTTTGCTATATTCACGTCTGCACAAGCCAACGGCTGGAATCCGTTAACCAACTACAAATAGTCGCAGCATTTAGCTCACAGATAACAACCGAAGGAGAAATGTTATAATTCTGCATGTGTTAAATAACAATATTAAAACAAAAACATATGTTCAACAGAAAACAAAAGTATAACTGACCTGTAGTAGGGATGCACGATATTATCGGTATGTTATCGCTATCGGCAGATGTTAGCTCACCGACATACAGTAAAAGGCGCTGTTTAGGTACGACAGAGTTTTAGGGCCTTATTAGAGTTTTCTTTATTATGAATCAGAATGTGACATCAATATAATTATGTTATATTATAATAATAATAATAATAACGTTTTAATAATATAAGAGTGAGGTCATGTAACAAAAAATGAATTTAATAAGACAAAAGCTTCAATAGAGTTACCAGCCAAGATGACCCAACCTTCAGTCTAAACAAACTATTTAACTATTAGTGAGAGTTTGTAGGCTACTTCTTTGATCTTGTAATATGGCATTATTCATGTTATATAACAATTTTATTCTTGTAATGTTAACACATTAATCTCATATTCATTTTATTCTCATAATGTAACTGCTTTACCCCAGTAGTAGTACTTTTTCTTAATGTTACGAATTTAATCTTGCGATGTTACAACTTCATTTTCATAATGTTACAATTTTATTCCAATTTAATTTTATTTATTTATTTATTTGACAGGGACAGTGTACACTAAAAAGCATTCCTGCAAATGCACCAGAATTAGCCAAAAGGCTATTTTTTCATCTGTTGTCCCTGGACAGATCTTAAAATTGTCTTCCTAAAAAAACACAACAATAAGCATGCTACAATGTAAAATACAAATATAAAAATAAATAAAAACAGCTATAACTCCTCAAAACTGATTTAAAAATACAGAATAAGTGTTCGCTGGACTACAGAGATTCATAAAATAGAATAAAACATTTAAACTATGTACATATGAATATATATACATACATATATTCATATACACAGAGATGGCAAAAGTACTCACTTTCCGTACTTGAGTAAAAGTACTGATACTTGTGTTAAAAAATACTCTGGTAAAAGTGGAAGTACTGATTAAACTTCTTTACTCAAGTAAAAGTAACAAAGTACAGGCTTGTAAATTTACTTAAAGTATAAAAGTAAAAGTAGAAACCACTTTTTTCATGCCGTTGCCTACATTTTAAATGGATGTCTGCCAATAGGACTAGATCTCCGTTGTGTTCATTTTCAATCATCTCGTCGTCCATGCTACTATGCTAACGCCACCGCCACCAAGCTGCAATGATTTGCAGCGAATGAATACCGCCGAATCTGTCGATTCATCTTGTAGTGGTGCGTCAAATGCAACGTAGATTGAATTTGGTATTGATGACGTGAAAAATAATAACGGTAACTCCATTTAAATGATTCAAAACTAAAGTAAAGAGCCAATTTTTTTTAAATGTAAGGAGTAAAAAGTACAGATATTTGTGTAAAAATTTAAGGAGTAGAAAGTACAGATATTTGTGTAAAAATGTAAGGAGTAGAAAGTACAGATATTTGTGTAAAAATGTAAGGAGTAGAAGTAAAAAGTCGCCATAAAAATAAGTAGTAAAGTAAAGTAAAAATATCAGAAAAATCTACTTGAGTACAGTAAAGAAGTATTTGTACTTCGTTACTTCCCATCTCTGCATATACATACATACATACATACACATACACATATATACATACACAAAGCAGAGACACAAGTGGCCGCATGGCTTATTATTGATAGACATTCAACTAATGCTGACATGACTGATGTGTTATGAGCCAATTTTTTAGATGGTAACATTATAATTTAAATCTCATGAAATGACACAGCTGTAATCTTGTAATGTTACAATGTTAATCTCGGAGTAATAGGATTATATTCTCATAATGTTTGCTGAATCTTTCTGGTATGAGTTAATATTTTTAATGTTAAGACTTTATTCTCTGTTACAATATCATTCTGGTAACCTTAGAACTTTAACGTCGTAATGTTACGGCTTAATCTGGCAATGTTATGACGTTATTCCTTTTACAACTTTACTTTCTCAATATTATGAGAAACTCTGATCTCTTAATGTTTTGACTTTATTCTTCCTTTTTTTGACTTTATTTTTCTAATGTTATATTATTTTGGTATTTTCCCATTTTTACATTTTCTAATATATTGAACTGATTTCTGACTTTATTGTGGTGATACCTTAATCTCACAATATTACAACTTTATTCTAGTCATTTTACTACCTTAATCTAATAGACCCAATATTATGACTTTATTTTTGTAGTCTAAATAAATTGATCTCGTAGTTTGACTCTGCAGCGGCAGCAGGTGACATGCATCCACCTGATGCATGATTCTGCCACAGTAGTGATGCTGAAGTAAAAATGTCAGCGGTGTGGATGTTTTCAGGAGCAGATAACCAAACTGCACTGCAAAAAACATCTAAAAATAAGTAAAAAAAGTCTTAAATGAAGTGTATTTATCCTTAATTTGAGCAGGCACATAAGATGATCTGCCAATGGAATGAGTATTTTTACTCCTAAAATAAGATAATTAGATAATATACACTTGAAATAAGACAAAGCAATTGTTTTTCCTTATTTTAAGTGTAAATTGTCTTGTTCCATTGACAAAGTGTCTCACTTACCTCCTGAATTCAAGAAAAAACGCACTTAATTTGAGCAAAAATGACTTATTTAGATTTCCATTTGCAAAGACTGCTCAGCAGCAGCAATAGAGGCGGATGCGTCAAACTTAATTACCGATCACAAAAAATCCACTATTCCAACTGTTATATTTTAATCAATGGCGACCAGGAAGGTAAGGAGAAAGTTAAATGACCAGGTCAATGTTGAGGGACAGCAGTGTCTTCTCCAAGCTTTGGACAAAGCAAAAAAAAATACAGCTCTTACCAGCAGAGGGCGAAATACATTACTTAGAAAGAGTGGAAAAACTGCCATTTTCAGTCCTTTTTTCAGAGGATTCCAGAGGTTTTTGGAATATGTTGTCTTTCCATTCAGCCTATAGTCTGAGATATTTTCCCAGCGTAGCCACCCTCCAGTTGTCACATTTAGAGATCAAATATTCTGCTCTGCAAGCATCCTAACCCCTACACCATGGATAGACATACACTTTGAACTTATGAATGATGGAAGTGAATAAAAGTTTCTGTCTAAGTGGATTTAGGGGGAAAAATGATCAACATATCTGATTTTGGCAAAAAGTCCAATATCGTGCATCCCTAGTTAGGAGTCACTTAGAGGTAGATCTAACCTATGTCTCTGAATGATTCGGACAAAACGAAAAGTTTAGGGATGAAATATTACAAATTCGTAAAGTTTTCAGTGTCATTATGTTATTTTCATGACATAAAGCTAGTCACCGTTGATAGGAGAGAGATAGAATAACATCTATTTAGGTAGAAGACAGAGCAGTTGATGTTTTACTCATAAATAAACATATTTAGCTGCATTTCAGTCTGTGACCGATTCTGCTGGTCCTGTAGGAGTTTGAGCTGGATGTGGTTGCCATAGTGAACGACACCGTGGGAACCATGATGACCTGTGCTTACGAGGAGCCGACTTGTGAAGTGGGGCTGATTGCAGGTGAGTTAACATGTTCTGAAGATTAAAAGGATTCTAAAGGGGAAACTGTTGTGTTCAGTGGTTTTATTCTACCGTTGCTGTGTGTGTTCCCAGGCACAGGAAGCAACGCCTGCTACATGGAAGAGGTGAAGAACATTGAAATCGTGGAAGGGACTGAGGGCCGTATGTGTGTCAACATGGAGTGGGGGGCGTTTGGAGATAACGGTTGTCTGGATGACATCAGGACAAAGTATGATCAGGCTGTGGACGAGAACTCGCTCAACGAGGGCAAACAGAGGTCAGGTTGCTAATTTTCCAGTTCCGGTCTCATAAATTTGCTCCTTTTTCCTGCTCATGATTAAAATATTGCTACATTGGTGCTAACTGATCTCTTTTGCTCCTCAGATACGAGAAGATGTGCAGCGGAATGTATCTGGGAGAAATTGTGCGTCAGATTTTGATCGATCTGACGAAGCGCGGTTTCCTCTTCCGAGGACAAATCTCAGAGACGCTGAAGACACGGGGCATCTTCGAGACCAAGTTCCTGTCTCAAATAGAGAGGTGAGTTCGTCCCTTACACATCTGTAGATCCTATTCAATCACGGACATTTCCCTAAACTCCACCTTCATTGACAAAAAGAAAAAAAATCATCCTTAAGTATTTATTATGGATCTATTTGCTCTTTTGCCTGCTGTATGTTTCATGAAGGGGGCCACCTGTGGAGCTGGTTTATATTTGCCTTTTGTATCTCTGCTTCTGTCTCCTTGAAGCCCAGTCGACCTCAGCAGATAGACGCTCACAGAGCCTGTTTCTGCTGGAGGTTACTTCCTGTTAAAAGGGATTTTTCCTCTCCACTGTCGCTACAAGCATATTTCGGAGGAATCCTAAACCGCCCCCTTAGCAGTAACCCCAAACTATCGAGTGTCACTCCCAATGAAGTGTATGGGAGAATTATCCTGCCATAATGCAAGAGCGCAAAATTTCAATTTGAGAAAATAATTTCTTCTTCTTGCACTCAAAACTTATAATGCTCACACTCAAAACATGCGCTCTCTCTCAAATATTTTCTCTCTAAAATCTTTGTTTCTTCTCTCAGATTTAATGC